CCCTAACGTTCTGTGATTCTGTGAAACCACATATCTGTTGCACTTTGAACTAATTTAAAATGACTAGATGGAATATGAATTACTTTACCAATGACTGAAGTTTTAATCTAACACAAGGTTGAGAGGTTTAACCGAGACTGTCCCCCAAATTCAATGAACTGTTTTCCATTAGCAAAGGATGGTTCCCAAAGCAGCCACTCCCTGCTGGAGCCACCCGGCAGCTTGTCCAACAGGCTGTCCGCTGGCAACAGAGATGTGATAGGGGGTACATTGGCTGCTCATGTTTCTGAGGAATAACAGTGATGTCTAAAGTTAAGTACCACTAAGCATGAAATTTCAAGATAAGTTTCCATGTCCTTCTTGTATTTTTAATGGGTTCAAATGGTTAGCATGCAGCCCCTTTGCCACCTGTGCCCAGTAAAACAGCATTACTGGTTTTATTTGGAATGCAGGTATGTCTTCAGAGGCCTGCATGACCTGCTGTTTCAAGTAAGGATTTACTGGAAATTGTATAGCCCTTATTCCAGCAGCTTTACCTTTCGTTTGCTCTGTTACGGCCCTGCTTTGAATCAGTTATAGTGGGTTTTACTGCCTTGTGTTTGGCAACTTGGTAGGAACATAATGGAGAAAAAAAGAAATGGATATAAATGTTAAGTTGTGAAAGAACTTTACTTTAATCTTTGTTTTGTACTAAGATTTTGTACTTGTAATTCTGGAGAGTTACTTGTATGAAATCTTTCAATAGTAGTCATAGGGCCTAACTTCAAAAGCATTTCAGCAATTTTAGTGAGATGAATGGAAACTAATCATGTTTAGTACTTCCCTGACATTGCTCTGGAGTTTCTGCCTAGGAATATTAACTTCTAATATTCACCTAATGATTGCTCAGCCCCGTAGTTCTTTATTCTAGTAAATATGCATCATATTTGAGTATTTTTCTTCCTATTCTGGTTTACCATAAGTTCCCAATGTTTTCTGTTAACGCTTACCGCTGTCCTGGGCTTATTTCTAGTGTGGAGCAGCAAATTACTCTCCTTTCCTCTGTTGCTGTTAGATTTCTGACAGTGGTGTGAGCATACAAAATCCCTCAACTCCTCTTGAACTTCTGAAAAACAATGATGGTTGTTTTAGGGAAGTGCTGACCTACTGTTTTAATAAATAACTCACCTTGTATTCCACTTTCCCATTTTTAGAAGCATGGTTCGTATTCCTCTCACTTCACAATCGTATAACATCCTTGTGGCAAGTACAGCAGTTGCTTACCTGGAAAAGTAATATTAGAAAAGTGTGTATTTTTAGCTGCCTTTTGATGTGATGTAGCAGCTGGAAACAAGGAGGAGAGGCGGTGTGAGGTGATCTGACAGCACTGCCAACCACAACTTGGGAGCCGCGGCTTTGGACTTGAAACCAAAATGTGGGGAAATAATTTTTACAGGCCTGAGTGTGCCCATTGTGCCTGGCACTTCCATGATCCAGGTGCTGTGGCTTTGCTTTTGGTTCTCAAAAGCTTCATTTGAGGGTCCTCTTCTGGATACTATTTGACAAATGTTGTTAATGGATAAAAAAAGGTTCTGTGAAGCTATTTGTTTATGTTAATATGCATTAAAGATATTTAATAAGCAGACAGATCCATGCACACACTAAAAATATCCTTAGTAAAATATCCCTTTGATAGCAGTGACTAATTGTAAATATCTAAATGAAAAGATATTCTAACAACTAACAAAAATACCGTTTTTCTCTTTGTAGTAATCATGTCCACATCTCAGAGAAGGAATCTGGCAAGTTCATGTTGAGGTATCTTCTCAAGACAAGATACAGTGACTCATATGCTTTTCTGGGTAAGAAGGGCATCTCGTCTCTTAAGTATGACAAAAAATAGTTGAACTCTTAAATTTAACTTCTGAAAAGTACAGTCTATCAAGCCAGCATGGTGGGGGTTTTGTGGGTGGGGGGGCTTGATTGTTTGTTCTTGAAGCTTTCTGAGCAAGTGTAGAGAACTTTCCACCCACCTCAGTCTAAACACATTCTAAACTAATAGTGCAAAAGAAGAGCAATAAGGAGCAATTTTAGAATAAGACAACACTGAACAGCATATGACTGGTTAGAAAAGTAATTCCAGGTCATTGTTGGAAAGATGTGTACTGTTTCTAGCCTGATTTCCCAGGACTCTTTAGCATCTCCTTTGTATAACGTTTCATAGAGTCAGGGAATGGTTTGGGTTGGAGGAGACGTTAAAGCTCCCTAAGTCCAGCCCCCCTGCCATGGGCAAGGACACCTTCCACCAGACCAAGTTGCTCAAAGCCCCGTCCAACCTGGCTTTGAACACTTCCAGGGAAGGGGCATCCACAACTTCCTTGGGCAACCTGTGCCAGTGTCTCACCACCCTCGCAGTAAAGAATTTCTTCCTAATATCCAGTCTAAATCTACCCTCTTCCAGTTTAAAACCATTCCCCCTTGTTCTATTGCTACCTGCCCTGGTAAAAAGTCCCTCCCCAGCTTCCCTGTAGACCCCCTCCAGGTACTGGAAGGCTGCTGTAAGGTCCCCCCAGAGCCTCTTTTCCAGGCTGAACAGCCCCAACTCTCTCGGGCTGTCTTCGTAGCAGGGGTGCTCCAGCCCTCTGATCATCTTTGTGGCCCTCCTCTGGACTCATTCCAACAGCTCCATGTCCTTCTTTCTCTGCAAGTGTTTTGCTCCTTAATAACCACTTAGATGTTGTTCAGGTTGTCATTACCACTGTGTTCTAGTTAACTTGTACCAGTCATCTCCAGAGACTGTTGAGACCCGATTTCCCCGCTTCCTCCCCACCTCCCTGCATCCACACTGAATTCTTGGGGCTTTATTTTAGGCAATTAGATGTAGATACCTAGCATGCTGGGTTTGCTGAAGTATCTGAGGAGGGAGTGGGAAAGAAAGCTTTTGCTCCTTTTGCTTTTGTTCCTATAACAGTCTGGTGTTTCACGTTCATTATCCTTTTATGATTCTTGTGTAAGCTGTACGTCTGGCTCTTCCCCCGTCTCAGTGGTTTCTGCGATAAAGTCATGGGCTTACAGCTGTCTTAAGGGACTTCTAGACTGGATCGCTGGAGTATTGCTTGTTGATCATCCACATCATCTCATGAGACGCAGTGCATTCAGTCACTGCTTCAGATTCCTTTCTAGCTGTGAAGAGGAAAAAACTGTAGCAACAGAGAAACATTACTTCAAAATAATATGCTTCTATAGATCAGAGCATTATCCATTAAGAGTTAAATTAGATAAGATGACATGTCCTTTAAGTTTAGCACTTCTCTCAGAACTCAATTAGATCTAATTTAGCTTGGCATTGCCTGACTTTTTTTAGTACAGAATTAGGCTGTTTCTCTCTGTCCTAGGGCAGTTCTATGTTTTTTGGCAGTCTTGTTCCAATTATCAAACTCAGTTTCTAAAGAAGTAGTTGCAGAATACACACTGCTAATGTTTTTATCTTTTTACTGTATCTTCGTGATTCACTGTCATCGTGTTTCTGCTGTGGAGCTGCTTTCTTTTTAAGTGCTCTTACTAAAGATAGAAAAGCTCCTTGGGCTCTTTCGTTCTTTTGTATCTTAAGTAATAAAGCCAGACAGTTGGTGTTTCAGATTTTTTTTTAATTTAAGGATGTTTCATTTGTATGGCTTTTATTAATACGTCAGATTTTATAATTCTAACATTCTGCTGATACCTTACTGCCTTTCCTTGTGGTTTTCTGATTGCCTTGTCTATGAATGCTGAATGCTTTTTTCTCCCCCTGAATTCTGATTTTTGGTGCTAATCTTTTAAAAACTTTGTCAGTTATAGCTTGGAATTTCTGACCCGTAGCTGGAACTTTTGCTTTTAGGTGGTGTATCTGGATGCTTGTAGTGCACTTGTTGAATTTCACTAACTGCTCTCATAGTTTAAAACTACTTAAATAGTTCTTTTTCAGAATTTGGGTTACTGCTGCTTACTGGAAGCTTCTCAGAGAGTTATACCTTACATATGACTTACAAATTCTTCCTGAAATGAAGAATTCTAGACTGTGTGTTTCCTGTCCATCAAATACAACTATGCAGACCTAGCTATGTGCCTACAGAAAAAATGCAAGGGCCTGCTTGTAAATAAAATGTTTGTAATTTCCCAGACATTTTCTTTATGGTGACTTCTGCATACCAAAGTGGTGTGATGCCTGTCATTTCCACATAACCATGCAAACACTAGAGCACTTTTTCAAATGCAGTGTGTTCAATTATCAGTTGTCTTTTGTCTGTAACTTAATTGATATTGGAAGATGTATCCTTATTTTTTTAAACTATATTTTAATATTTCTTTTTCTCTTGAATTTAGATAACGTAATCCATGGATAAAGTGGGAAAGATGTGGAACAATTTCAAATACAGGTGCCAGAATCTCTTCAGTCACGAAGGTGGAAGCCAAAATGAAAATGTAGTTGTGAACTCCAATAGTTGCTCATCTGCTAAAGAGAAAGCTATCCAAATAACTGATTTGGCTCAACAACAACCCAGCAGCCCTTTGAGAGAAAACATTGCTTTGCAATTAGGTTTAAGTCCTTCAAAGAATTCGGCAAGGCGGAACCCAAACTGTGTCACAGAAATTCCTCAGATTGTTGAAATAAGCATTGAGAAAGAGAATGACTCGTGTGTCACCACGGGAGCCAGGCTTGCTCGCAGGGACTCTTATTCTCGGCACGCTCCTTGGGGTGGGAAGAAGAAGCATTCCGGCTCTACCAAAACCCAGAGCTCCCTGGATACTGAGAAAAGGTTTGGGAGAACACGAAGTGGTTTGCAGAGGAGGGAGAGAAGGTACGGGGTGAGCTCTGTCCATGATATGGATGCAGTATCGAACAGGACAGTGGGCAGCCGTTCTCTGCGACAGCGTCTGCAAGATACTGTTGGGCTGTGTTTCCCCATGAGAACTTACAGCAAACAGTCCAAGCCTCTGTTTTCTAATAAAAGGAAGATCCATCTCTCTGAACTAATGCTCGAGAAATGCCCTTTTCCTGCGGGTTCAGATCTGGCTCAGAAGTGGCATCTGATTAAACAACACACAGCGCCTGTGAGTCCTCATTCGACGTTTTTTGACACGTTTGATCCTTCCTTGGTTTCCACAGAAGACGAAGAAGACAGGCTCAGAGAGAGACGTAGACTTAGTATTGAAGAAGGGGTTGATCCCCCTCCCAATGCCCAAATACATACTTTTGAAGCTACAGCACAGGTTAATCCATTATATAAACTGGGACCAAAGTTAGCCCCTGGTATGACTGAGCTGGCCGGGGACAAAAACATAACACCTCCAGGGAACTGTGACTCCGAAGAGGACACGACGACGCTTTGTCTGCAGTCACGCAGGCAGAAGCAGCGTCAGATGTCTGGAGAGAGCCACAGCCATATCAGCAGGCAGGGGGCTTGGAAAGTGCATACTCAGATTGATTACATCCACTGCCTCGTGCCAGACTTGCTTCAGATAACAGGTAACCCGTGTTACTGGGGGGTAATGGACCGCTACGAAGCAGAAGCGCTTCTGGAGGGTAAGCCCGAAGGCACTTTTTTGCTCAGGGATTCTGCGCAGGAGGACTACCTCTTCTCTGTGAGCTTCCGTCGCTATAACCGCTCGCTGCACGCACGCATTGAGCAGTGGAATCACAACTTTAGTTTTGATGCCCACGACCCCTGTGTGTTTCACTCCTCCACCGTTACAGGGCTTCTGGAGCACTACAAAGACCCCAGCTCTTGCATGTTCTTTGAACCATTACTTACTGTATCTCTGAACAGGACTTTCCCCTTTAGTCTGCAGTATATCTGCCGGGCAGTAATCTGCAGGTGCACTACGTACGATGGCATCGATGACCTTCCTCTACCCTCGATGTTGCAAGACTTTCTAAAGGAGTATCACTATAAACAAAAAGTCAGGGTGCGATGGCTGGAGCGGGAACCTATAAAAACAAAGTAAATGGAAATCAGAATAAGCTTCTAGAATATGCTTTTTTTCCTGTGTGTTACAGTTTAACTGCAGCGAGCGCACCAACAATGTCTAGCTTTTCTGCAATATCCTATTTAAGCTGAGTGTTAGTATCCTGTCAGATGCTGCCTGCTGTTAATCAAACTAAGTTGTGATGCCTCTTGGAAACAATAAGCAGACACAATTCTGCACGTTTTTCATTAAGGCCTAATGAAAATATTTTTGCTAATTTCTGAATATTTTGTTTCCCTTTTATAGCTGTAGTAATTGGATGAAGAAACTATGAGGCATTTTCCATGGGGCATTCATGTAATGCTAATAAATAATGACTTTATTAGAGGAGCATTTTTGCTAATATTTGAAGTATTTTTTTTAAATTATCTTCTTGAAAACTTTCCACTGCTTGCAGTACTAATTTAGCTCACAAATAAGTTTCCAAATACAAGTGAATAAGAGTATTTTCTTCTAATGAAGAGCAGTTTATTAGAAGCAGTCCAGTTAATGGTGTTTTGATGCTAACAGATGAGTCATGCTTTTCTCAGTGTATGAGGTTTTCTAATCATTAAGACTTGAATATGCCTGCTCAGTACTGTAATACTATTTGAAACACTTGGAGATTTAAGTGGCATTGTTAGCAAAAGTAATACTGTCTTGGACAGTTAAATACCTTCCAGTGTGGATTACTGATTGAGTGGCAGGACATGGGATAAGATTATTGCCATGGTAAAAATAGAAAAGGTTGCGTATTCTTCCAAAACAGAATTTGGTGACCTGACTGCTAGTAACTCACAATGGAAGGTAATAGTGAAGAGAAAAAAAATCTTTAAATAAATAAAGTTGTCTGATATTTTTATGGAGAAAATTACAAGTGGTCAAATTATTATAATCAGAATACGAAATCTGACATATCTGGAATAAATGTCAGGTTTCAAAGGTACTGTTACACTTTGTAAATATCTTTCCAATTGTGCTTTGAAAAAATGTTTTAAAGTAATATGCACTGATTATAGTTTCAACAGATTACTTGGAAACAAGATTCTAAGTTCTGTTTGCTTATTTAATTGGAGATGGAATTTAAAATAGTTCTGTCTTAGACATCTTTGCACTAAAATTTTGTTGAATGCCCTGACCCCCTGTTTCATGTTTTGTACCGATTATGAGTGCTCCCTAGTTTCTTTACCAGCTGCTACAGTACGTTATTACTTACTTCTCTATGGCAGTGACCTGTGCGAGGTAGGGAGCATTTTGGCTGCAAGTACAATAAACGTTATTCTTGTATGCTACACTAACCCTTCTATTGATGTATTTTTCTGCTTGCCGTGCCTTGTTCTGGCTTTTTGTGCTAATAAAGTACAGTATGTTCAGTGTTATACTTGTATATCTGCTCTGTTTTTATATATTCACGTAACTTGTAGCAGTTAACTGATTTTTTTAATAGGCTTTTCTTAGTACTTAGTCTAGGTAATGCACAAATACCGTGCAGTTGAATATTGGTTGGTCAGCACACCATATTCCTGTTTTTTGTTACTTGCTTATCAGAAACCGAACAGTGTACACCATTGAATAACGTTTCTATAGTCACTGCAAAGTAATGGACTTGTCCGCAGGCATAGAGCATTTTACAGTTTTTGTAATGTAAAGGATAAATGTTAAGCAAAAAGTATTCTAAAACATTATTGATCCCCTGTAATGCTTGCTGAAGGTGTTTCAGCTTGTTATACAGCTGACTGCTAAGCCTGATGTTTTGATACTCCCCACTGAGTAAGGAATGGTTATTCCTGCAAATTGACAGTACAGCAGTGGCATTTGTTCACTTCTAGACTCTTTTAATAAATAGATGTGCACGCAAACTGGCCAAATGCCCTGTTTTTGCCAAAGAATACTGTCAATTTATGTTGGGGTATTTTTTTAGTAAAAAATTTGAGTGGAGAGGTGCAATTTCTGTTCTATCAAATATTTTTCCCAAGCTGTGATTAAACCAAAGTATTTGACAACTTCACCTGAACTCAAGTAACGTTTTAAGCTCTGCCAACATAAAATGTATACTTTTATGTCAACGGTGTTGTCATTTTTCTTGAACTTAAAATGCACCTGAAGGGGAATGATTTAAGTAATTTTGTAATGACTGGAACAGCACTACATAGGAGCTCATACTGCAAGGGGTTAACCTGAAGCACCCAGAAAGCACTTTAAAACATGTGTTTATATGCTTGTGGAGAATTTGTGATCCCGTTATGCATTCTTTGTAGTAGCTTATCCTCTTTTGTGTGTTAAGACTCCCAACTGTTAAAATGGAAATTTGTTTAGAACGTGTAAATACTAAGTTTATGTAAGTATGTGTACAAATGTGCTATTGGTCACTTCAGTTTTCAATTGTGTGTGTGTGTCATTGGATATGCAACTCCTGGTTTAAAATCTGCTCTAAGCATAAAAAGAAGAAAAAAAAAAGTCACCAGCATGAAATTGCACCTAAGTGTACCTTCACTGTGTCGTTCTCACTGTTCCCTCCGTCGGATCTGGATTCCAGATCAGTTTACGTTAGATCTTGCTTTCATTATTGGTCTCCTACAGTCAACCTGCAACCAAGCTTTGTCCCAATGTAGGGACCTGTTTTTTGTTTACACCTGTTGCCGTTGCTTGTCATAAAGTAGCGATGAGATTCTAGCTGTGACTATCAGTGTGGTCAGGAATACACATTCATTTAATTTTCTATCATGTGGTGGAATCTTTGGAAAAAATAAAAACCCCAAACCCTTATCTAAACCCTTTGCTCTTGCATTTGTGTAAATAATCTTTATGGAGAGGATTTATTGCTGCCTTAAAATACAAAAAAGGAATTATCTATTTCTCTACCACTTTTTAAAGCTTTGCTTCACTGAAATATACAGAATAACTTGCTAGCGTGGTTATGCTAAAAATAATCACTTTTAAAATTATAGTTGACTTGAGCGTTGACTACTCAAGTTGCAGTATATTTCTTAATGAATACATTTCCAGTTCTAAAGGCTCTAAACCGTTAGTATGTTGAGAATGCAAGTAGTTGATTCCTCATTTCTGTTTGAGGAGTATGTTTTAACTTTCTGATTTTGTTTAAAAATCTTATACATGCCTTCTTCAAAAGATGTGCACAAAGCACTGATTTTTATTTTTTAACAATAAGTCAATGTAATAAGGATTCCAATCTAATTTGGTTACGTGACAGATAAGTAGTTGAGCCTCAATATTGTACGGTGTTCTTGCGAGATGATTCTCATTTCTGCAGAAAGGGCTATAAAAAGGGCTTACTTGGTAGGATTATTTTGCAGAAAATCTTATACAGGGTGGTGGTGCTATGTGCAAATTAAGATCTTTGAATACGTAGCACAACTTGATGGTTTTGTTGCATATAAATACACACATCGTTGTATTTTAGAATGTCAGTAACAGCTCCAGTTTACCAAGAGACAGAAATTCAAATAATTTCCATACAGCATGTTATCTAACATCGGAAAATGATTGTGTAAGTAAAGTAATGTCATTAATGTATTGACATACAGTGAATGGAGGTTTTTTATTCTGGATCATTGTTTGTAGAACAGAATTACAATTGAAACATTAGGGTATTAAATCCAAATATTTTTAGGAATCTGTCTTTAAGTCCCCATGAAATTGGAGAGAAGTAGCTATACTATATTTTGACTATATATGAAGGTCTATGAGTTGGAGGTTTTTATCCCTTTGAAAGGCATACCTCTTACTTGTAAGGACTTGTAGACATTTGTCCAGGTAATTTACTTGTCAGAATGAAACTTCTCTTAAGAAGATAAGTTACAAAGCCATGTTTTGCACTTACGTACTTTAAATTTAGTGTGTATTTGAAGACTTGTTGCTCACAAAGAAATAGTTGTTAAATTAGAAGCATACAGTCTTTGAAAGGCCGGTCTATCTGTAGAGTTTGATAAGATTAATTCAGGCCTTTGCTAGACATCATCCTGACAGTCACTCACATCTTGCAGTCCATTTTTAACTTCAAGGTTCTGCACTGTGTAGAAACGAGCAAAGACTAAATTTCTGTGATACAAACCCAGTTTGCTCTAGTCTCCATGTGCAAGCCAAATTACTTAGAGAATGCTTTCAAACTTGTCTCTGCTGCGGAGTTGCATGTAAGACTGAAGCTGTCAAGTCCAGAAATTGTGGAGTACCAGAGAAATTAATTTGCAGGGAGCATGGTCTTATTTTTAAAAGCTACCTTGAAATGCCATATTTAATGGAAAAATATGAACTAAATCTACTATGATTCTTTTACAAGTAACAATATTTGTCTCCTTTTAAAACCAGTCACAATTAAAATTATGAAAGTGCTTTTTGAGTCTTATTTTCCTAAAGCAGTGTTGTGAAATGTATGTGCCAAACCTTACTCTGCAAGAATCTACGCAGCCCATGTATATATAAATATGTATATGTGTTAATAAGATGCCTTCAAGCATGTATGCATTCGTGGTCTTATTTTGAAGGTACCTGAAGTACACCAATATGGTGAGCATTAATATATTGGAATTCTAAAAATTCCCTCTGAGCTTTCTGTCTGTGCATGGCACGCATTGCAAATAAAAGCACGATTTCATTTGTATCTTCAGCTGTATTTATATATTCTAGCCACTTGATTGGTGTGAGTTTTCCTGCTATTACCACACTTGCCTAAACAGCTGTCTCCTGACTGACCAAAGGAGATCTTTTTTGTTTATGTTTGCTTTAAAAAAAATAAATCTTACATTAGACAGAAATCAATTCAGTTGGCTTTTAAAGTGTTAGCTCTTACAAAGCATGGTGTATCACTGCAAATTGCTTTCCCTTCTTGCAATACTGATGTACAGAGAATCATTTAGCCTGACCATGGGTTGTGTCTACCAAACGCTGTTGACTTAAAATGCCTGAAGGACACATTTTCATTTGAAAATGCTGCTGATGAAGGCTTTGAAAAGAAGGCGGCTTGATGTTTTCAGAGCAAGATACGTAAAGTAAATGTCTTGCAATGAGGTAAGGATCTCTTGAAGATGCCTTTTAAGAAGTTCCCCCCACACCCCCTCCCATTATGTCTTAAATCAAGACTATTTAAAGAAAACCCACCTCTTGATGTCTTTAACCTTACAATCATTTAAAGGCTGAAAAGAAATCTGGTGCTTTTACGTAATTTGCTTGCATGTTGCCATACTGATTTAAGAGTAGTTGTTTCAAGAAGCAGATTTTAGATCTGTTATTTCAATGAAGCATTGCCATTTCTTATTTTTATATAATATTCCATTTACAAAAATGTGTATCAAGAGGTTGTTAACCTGATACCATCTTTGAGTCTGTTGTTATCAAGGTAACTATTGTGTATATGCTTTTCAAGCTGAATAAATGTTCACTCTGTAAATTTGCATTAAAGCTACAGCTGTTATCAGCTAGGTTTCTTAGGGCCAACACAATGCATTTATGAGCTGAAACTCCTGGTGCTTGACCCCCCTTTTTTTTTCCTGTCTTCAGTAGGAAAAAATATATAGTTGTGTGTGTGCGCTATAGGTAATGTTGCGAATTTCCTTGTTAAGCGCACAGCTACACTGACAAGCAGAAACATCTGGACTTGCTTGTCTGCAGTAAAGCAACCTCTGGTTTCTCAGCAGGAGTCGTAACTTGGTGGCACGTTGGCAAAGACGAAGCAGTACTAGGTCTTCTTCTCTGAGCAGCTGTTAAATTGGACATGGTGTGTGCTTCCTGTGCGATAAGGTATATTAACTTTTTTTAAGCCCTGAGAATTTTAATAGTTTTTAGAAGATATAGAAGTGCTTGTCTGCTTTGTCACTTCTTGCTTTCGTACTTGTAGTTTTGCAAAAGCATGAAGAGATATATTTATTAAAATTGAATCTATGTACTCACCAACTGCATAAGCGCTACTCTGTAATATCTTTACGGAGATAGCAAATTGCTACACAATTATACTAAAACTGTTTTGGGAGAGTGAATAATGACACTGTGGGCACAAATTAATTCAGATTGCACTATAAACTTTCTTACCAGAAGCCTTCATTCTTACGAAAAACCTATGTGATCCCTGCACAGAAATACCTTAGCTTTGGTGATGCGCTCTTTGGTAGGCGTCCAAAACAAGCGGCACCCAGATGGTCCCTGGACCTCTTCCCGACATTCCAGTTGAAGGGGCCCTGGCAGGCCCACTGGTCACTCGAGGAGTTGGCTGGCAAGTGTGCCATGCCCAGCATCGCCCCATGCCAGCACCTTGTATAACTGCGCTGGTTTAGGTCTCCCTGACTTAGATGGTTTTTAACCCGCTGCAGCTTAAATGTTTCTCCACCCTGCGTAATTTGTCTTTGTTACCTGATTGCCAAACTGTCTTGCATCTTAATATAGTAAGAAAATAATGTGATATATGGCTACACAACCAGTGTATTAAGTAATAGATGTCTCTGTCTTAATAAATGGGGTATGAACTACCATACTGTTTTCTTTTTATATTCGTTTGGGAGCAAAAAGTTGTGGGTTTGATGAGTTTATTTTAAGTCTGTACTGTAAATACATATTTCTGCAAATATTTAATTGTTGCACATGTTGAATGGATAAGTAGTTGTTAGATCAAAATAATCAGTACCTCATGTTTATTCCAGTCCATTTCTGTTGCATCTGAAATACTTGAGTGAGGAGGTCCAGACACTGACAGTTACTGTCTGTAGAAGTTTTGTCATACTCTGAAATTCCAGCAGTCTCTTAATTTAGCAACTTTTCACTTAAATCTTAAGGGTCTTTTCCCCCTGCCCCCACCAGTATACACAATTCTGTGACATAAACCTGTATTCTAGAGCACAGCCCC